CTCCTTCGTCTTGAGCGTGCGCAGCAGCTTGCGCGGCCGGTCGCCGCTGCTTCACGGCATGCTTTCTGCACGTAGACCTGCGCGAAACGCCGACGCATGCTTAATTATTAATTATTAATTAAATAATTATTCATTAATATGCGCGCGTTAATAATCACCCGGTGCGGATGCCTGCCCTCGCCGTACCCCCATAATCCTGCCGAATGGCGGGATTATCGCACGTCAAACCGGCCATGGCGTGCAGTTTTACAAAGAAATCGATGTGAAACTGCACACGTGTGTACTCGAGACCCCGGAAAATTTCCCGTTGTGTCGCAAACTGGCGCAGCGCAATCTGAAGCGATTCTCTCCTCTTATCTTTTTTTTCACCGCACAGAAATGAGGGAAACCGTCTGTAGTAATGAAACTAACTTCGAGAACAATGCCACTCTCCCAAACACGCCTGCAGTCCCCCTCCCCCACGCTGCCACTCTCTCCACCCTCCCACCCATCCTGTCATTCTCTCGCGCACGCCTGCAGTCCCCCTCCCCCACGCTGCCACTCTCTCCACCTCCCACCCATCCTGTCAGTTCTCTCGTCGCATGGCCTGGCAAGTCCCCCTCTCCGCCACGCTGCACTCTCTCCACCCTCCGCACCCATCCTGTACGATTCTTCGGCGCATGCCCTGCAGTCCCCCGTCGCCCCCAGCTACGCCACTCTCGTCCACCGCTCCCCCATCCTCATTCTCTCGGCTTGCCTGCAGTCCCTCCTCTCTCCTCACCCGCGCATGAGTCCTCGGCACCTGCAGCGCTCTCACCCGCTGCCCTCGCCGCGACCTTGAAACCTCACGTACCTGGGCGCTCTTGAAGGCGAGCTTGACCTCCACGTCGCTGCAGCGCGTGCCGACCCACAGGAACACGTTGACACCGTTGTCGAGAATCATGATGTCGTCGTCTGCCAGGTCGTCCTGGAAACGAGCAAAGCATTCCGTCACTGCCAACGCACGCTACTCGTGTCTATTATATAACTGACTCTGTCTGTATATGCCAATATACGCCTCCCATAATCCATGGGGGAGTTGTTAGCAAACTCATAATAGAAACTCCTACTCCAGAAAATAAAAGGGCACGCATAGGACTACTGTTCCTATTATGCAAGATTCCTGCACGACACACCTCACGCACGCACGCACTGCACGCCGACCACGCACACACGACACACGTACATGCACAGCACAACGCCACACGTCGGCACACACAGTAGCCAGCCTGCCACGCACACACAAGCGCACACACACACACACACACACACACACCACACACAATGCTACATACACACGCTGGAGATGTCGGAGCATTTCTCGGACACGCGTGAAGTATCCCTTCTCGTATAGATGAACGGAACAGCGGCTGTGTCGCATGTAGCGCCATCTGTACATTCCCACGATACACGTGTAACGATTCTGCACACTGACATTCTGGTAATGCTGCCACGCTGATACATCACTCTTATCAAATAATGAAGGCTACGAAAGTAAATGACGCCTACAAAAATTCTTCTACAAGATCGGAATCAACAGCACTCGTGGCCATAGCCTCAATTGCTCACTCCGCGTGCACGACTAGAGTTAAGGAAACATTTTTCAGTTTAGAGTAATAAATCACTGGAATAACCTGTCAGAAGAAGCAGTACAAGCTAATCAATTAACTCGTTTAAAAGCCATGTGGATGAATATGTAAGGATGGGTTTATACAAGACAGTAGTCTTCCTACTCTTCGATCCACTCCAAACCTACAGGTGAGGGTGGAATCAGGTAAATCAGGAAATCACCGTACAGGGCTGCTGCTGAGACTTCGCCACATTCGCAAAATTTCATAAATCGCGTTGTGTAATCCCCACAATACATTTTTGTTTTTCTGCCTGCCCAAGGGCGCTATGCCTTCTGCTTTTCCCAATTGATAATGTTAATCCACACAGAAATTGGTAATCTACTCCCCGGGAGCGACTATTGAAATACTTAATGCTACTTAATGCTGGACCGACACCGTGATATGCAACCCTAATATGTGATTACGATGGTTTACAAGTAAAATTCCTACTGGATGCATATGCAGACATGTCAATAGCTACAGACCTTTCTTTCTCGTCTCCTCTCGTCTCTCTCTCTCTCTCTCCTCTCCCTCGCCAACCCCACCTCTTCACTCTCTCTATCGCTCTTTCTCCCTCCCCACCCCCTGGCTCTCTCTATCTCTCTCTCTCCCTCCCCTACCCCCTCTCTCTCTCTCCATCTCACTCTCTCCCATCGTTGTCGTCACCACCATCGTTGTCGTCACCACCATCGTCATCATCATCACCACCATCGTCATCATCATCACCACCATCGTCATCATCATCATCAGCATCATCATCACCACCATCGTCATCATCATCATGTAGGAGTTCGTCGTCATCTCAGCTACGCAAGCAGCTGCGTGAGAGTTGGACGTGATCATCAGCGCTCGGCGACATCGTTAACGTTAACGATGCGCTTCCCGCATGGTGTCGCCGTTTTGTATATTTGTCACTTATAATTAGTTAGGATGGCGACCGTGCGAGTGCGAGTCTGCCTGTCACTGGCCGGAAGGCAAACGTTAGAACGCAAATTTAATTAAACTCCAGTCTCCAGTCGGTTCTGTACTATACGTTGTTTGTTGGTTGGCCATGACCAGATGAGGACGGTCGGTGAAATGTGAAATGTGAAGTGAAATATGGTGAGAGTTTACAATCATCTTCTTAATAGCACACTAATAATGGCATGTGTTGTGTGTGGGAATCATGTGTGTGTAGATGCTACTCGTGTGTGGCAATGTACGAATCAATCAACACGACATGTGCTGTGGAAGTCAGGAATGGTTTGCATCTCGTAAAAAAATATTTTGGGTCTAGACTAACGATTGAACATGTGATTGTAATGTGTGATCAAAGGTTTGGGGTTATATAATGAAATTCATTACTTTATGCCTTTAATCTTTGCCCTTTGCGTGTATTTATTTATAAAACTCGACCGCTATTAAACCGATGGGTACGATTTGTGAGAAAGGGAGAATGATATATATAGAACCTTCGCAGCTGAAGTGTGCCAAATGTTAATTTGTATACTTTATGTCGGAAGTATAGAATGTTTAAAGTGAAACGGGAACAGCTGTTGGTCTATTTTTGTTATAAGACGCCTAAACACTGACATACGCTCACACATCCACGACGAACTTGGGTCTGATACAATATTTATTTCCCCATCTAGCATTGGGCACATACATGGAAGCCAACTCTGGCATAACCAGCACTGAGAGTAGCTGCAAGAGACAACGGCAAGTGTTAGAGAGACAGACAGACAGACAGACAGCGAGCAAGAGAGCTGCACACAGTACAGAAGCAATATCAACCTTCCACAAAATGCCTTTCAGATCTCGGTCACTCGGTCGATCTCCGACGAACGATCACCGAACTACGATTGAAAATCCCCGGGGGACTCGAAAGCTCCGAGAAGATTCTGCCGTATCTGAAACTCATGCTGTTTTACGGCCCCTAGGGGGCACTGAACTGCAATAAGTATGGCGGTTTTAAACTGGGCTAAACCCTCTGACAGTACACACTGTACATACAGAGACGATGTAACCGCCCACCTTACTCGATTGATACTGCTGCATCAGCACAGTAAAGCACAACCATAGCTTTGCAAACAAGCTCCAGGTATCTGAAAAAAACCTGCCGCGTTTCGGTGGCAAAATAACTCGCCAACGACAGTAAATCTACACGGCCAACGCTCGCGCGCGCGGTCACTGCATACGACTACACACTTGATTTCCGACAACACGATTTGAAAATATCTTCGACGGGAACACGCCCGATCCGTCTTCGGACCGTGCGACGCGCTCCCGGCCCCTCACAGACGGGCCTGGCGCGCGTCTCACGTCCGATCAATCAATCACTGATTTGATCAATCAATCACCAATCAATCAATCACTAGCATCGCATGATTTCATTCATTTCGTTCTTTCTCAAAAGGCAGCAAAAAAACAACAGCTCCTCATTAATTAACGTTAATAAGAATAAGAATAAACGAGTTCTGAGAGTGATAATTACAATAAATAACCGGTAACCGGCCGGGGGATGCTGAGCGTCGCGTGACGTTAGACTGTCCCGCTACTTCATCTTCTGAGCCACGAAGCCACGACTGTGCTTGTTTACAGCCGCACATAAATCAACGACTGTGCCACCTTAAAAGCAGCACATATTCCACGACCGTGCTTGGTTAACAGCAGCACATGAACCACGAATGTGCTCCCTCCAAAGCAGCACATATTCCACGAGTGTGCCACCTTAAAAGCAACACATATTTCACGACCGTGCTCGGTTAACAGCAGCACATGAACCACGAATGTGCTCCCTCCAAAGCAGCACATATTCCACGAGTGTGCCACCTTAAAAGCAACACATATTTCACGACCGTGCTCGGTTAACAGCAGCACATGAACCACGAATG